CACTATACAACACGAGCGCGTGCCTCTGCTACGGGCACCACGAGAGCGGTAGTAGACGCTTGAGAACCCAGGTGAGTTATCGTCGCATGACAGAGACAGCGTACCTTTATAGACCGCCTCCCGCCAATGCCGACCTTGGCTGCTTATGCATTAGCGCGGCGTCGAGTGCGCGTGATATACTGTAACACCCGTGCCGCTGATTGCAGCAATTACGTCTGGGCAGACTGTTTTCGTCCTGTCGTATAATCACTAAGCAGGGCGTTAATGGCGGACGACGCCAACTGCGTGACGCGATTTTCCAATTAAATCGTTCGTTCGTTTACGAGACCGCGCTGCGGTAGTCACGGTGGTCTGCGACGTAGCGGCGGCCCTGCGAGCATGGCACGAGGCAGCTCGATTGTTATAGCGCCATGTGCTTAGCAACGTCGATGTGCGCAGGGCTTCCTTCATAATCCTAAATTGAAAGTGTAATGTAGGTCACACTGTAGGTCACCAATGTAGGTCACACACAAAAATGGACACACAACATGAGTGAGTGAGAAGAAGTCAGTTTTACATGAGCAACCATCGACGTAACATTATAGAAACGAAGAGTATATATGATGGGAGAACTCCCATTATATACTCTTGATAATTATATGCGTAATTTTTATGTGAAAAGTAAATGTTGAGATGTGAAATCTGATGAGTGGCGACGTGATGGCGTTACAGCCTAAATTGATGGTATGGTTGCCATGCTGTATATCGCATATATAATTTATAAACACCAAAATTAAATTCACAATTGTGAACGGTAGATGGCGCTATACCCGCTTTGATTTTCTTTGCGATGGCGTTCGAAATAAAATAGGTTATGTGCGCGTTCCGACATGTTTGTAAAACTTTACTCTAACATATAAGACGTTTTATCAGCAAGGGTGGAGAGGAATACCATTTGCATATAAAAGATATTGTCAATGAAATCTTGCTAAAACGTGAACCAGACGAAGTGTGCGACCACCACAGACTGTTATCTGCGTGTCTTATATAATATGCTATATAATGTGCCAAAAACCTACCTAATTGCCATAAAAAAAATTAAATATCAAAACCCCTGTTAATAACGTTTTGGGGCAGCCTTATTCATTACACACCAAAAATGAGCAAATCCGTTGAACTGAAACTGGACTAATGGCAATTTATTTTGGCCAAAAAAATTGGCAGTGGCCTCGTAAGTACTCGACTGGCGTGCTCCAAGATAGGGGACGTTTGGTTCAAAAAAAAAAACCTTTCCATAGTAGTAACAACTAGTGCCCAATTTCAAAACTGTGGGTAACGGTTCCTGAGTATCGTTGAAACCGTACGCCAAATGGTTTGACGGAAGGATCGGACGGAGAGCGGACGGAGGACGGACGTACGACGGACGAGCGACCCATGGCCAATATCATCTGGACGATGTCAAGCGTGAGCTAAAATAAAACAGCGCAGTCGTAGCTAGTACGCTACGTGCCGATTTTGCAATATATCCGCCGACATTTTTTATTATTGTAGGCCATTACACGGAACTGTGAGGAAAAACCGGCAGAAACCGATGGCCAATTGAAAAGGCAGTGGACTCTATGAAGGTGGAAAAAGTTGTCTCGACTGTCAATGATATGCGGCAAAATACTGTACGTGACTGGTGCATTCCGTCGCTTAAAATTTGAAATAGGGCGCGCTAGCAACATATCTGTAATTAAACGCTAATTTAAATATCGAGTTCCATTTGTATCTATCAGAATTTAAAATCGTTGATGATTACGTTCACAGCTATTATGATTAAACTTCATTTTTATTTTATTTATTACGTTATTGTAGTGTATGAGAGATTCAACACATAAGGGTCATTAGGCTTATTTAATTTAACGCAAATTATGGTGATAGCTTGTGTTATAGCTTAAGCTCTCAATACATAACTTGTGAAATATTGTCAGCAGGTAGTGTTGTCGCAGTCGTGGAAGCCACATATTTTCTCAAATAAACGTTCAATATTAGCATAGCTCTGGCGCATTTGCTTATTCACATCATTAGATCATGCATGTCAGAAATTTAGGATATATACCGGACTATATAACGATCATTTATAGCGACTATATCCTATGACTGTATAATATCATTACGTCGCATCACGCCTACCACAGTTGATTCATGCGAGCTATGCAACAGAACAAAGTACGTAATCGTTTGGATGGTATTGGTTCGTTCAAAATATATAGAGGATATTTAATACTGCGTGGCCGAAGATTAGATGTACACAATTTGAAAGGCCGTAGTTATCGCGTTCTTTACGTTTAATACTTCGGTCGTATAGAAATATGATTACAGTTGGCGTAAATCCCATACAGTACATAGTTTTCTTATATATTCATATATATACCTTACAAGCAAGTAGCTATGCTTCGTAAGACATTCACTAAGATGTCCATTCGACAAAAAACGAGGCCATGTAGTCTTAAACGAATTCGCCGTTTGTTACATTTCCTCGACGTTTACCATCTAAATTTACATAAAAGCATAAAGAAGCAGTAGCACGCACGCGTTCGTGTCTTTAGCCCGGCGCACGACGGCGAGTTATTTAACTCAAGTAAAATGACGCAGGAGTTTTTTACGAAAATCCGCCAACACAGTGATTAAAATGACGAATGCGTCAATTACTCAACGAAAATCCGCCGCACAGTCGACGTAAAATGACTCGTGCGTCATTTACTTGAGTAAAATAACGTCACGTATGGCGCGAGCTTAACGTGTGACGTGATCCGCGAGAGGCAGCATTGGTGAATATCGTGCGCGCGTGTTCGTGTGCATTGTTATTCTATACATAACGCGACCTAGCACGCGCGGCCGGCCACAGTTATCGCAAGACTTACCAGAACCATTACTAGGATTGTAGAAGCTTTCTCTGCCGTACTAGGCCGATCGTCGATGGAATGTACAACTTCTGATTATCGCCTTTTCTTTCAGAACAACGGAACGTACACAGCCACTTGAGCGTTTCAATAAAATATATATGCTAAATTTAAATACAGAATCTATTTACTTACAAAGTCTTAATGTTTCTATACTCTCTATTTTGCCTATTATGCCGACATATTCTGCAAAATGAAGTAACAAGATATATAACAAAAAGTATATATTTATGTGTCAGTGTACACGGCAGCCATGGCGGCAGCAGTGTTGTTGTAGATGAGCATTTGGACGGCATTTTGAGGGAAATGGGCGCAATAATAGGCGCAAAGAGAGTTATAGAACATGTAAGACTTGTGCGTAGTAAATAGATTTCGTATTTTATTTAGCAGACATATTTTAATTGACGCCTGCCAAGTGCCTGCGCGCACGTAAAATTCTCGCTCTCGTGCGGAGAGAATGTAAATAGTGTGAGTGTTTTCGAACGCAAATAACCTAAATACAGGCGTCAGCACATTCCATTAATTTAAGCAGTTCTATATTTGTCCACTACTAGGCCAATATAATGAAAACCTATGTGTTCCTATCGCGCTCAACTATTCTCTCTCTTTCCTCTTTTCTCTCTTTCTCTCTTTTCTCTACTTCGTCCATGATCTTTACTCTCTTTCTCTTCTATGTGCGTTGCGTGCGTGCGTTGCGTTGCGTGCGTGCGTGCGTGCGTTGGCGTGCGTGCGTGCGTGCGTGCGTGCGTGCGTGCGTGGCGTAGCGTGCGGCGTCGTGCGTGGCGTGCGTGCGGAGTGGCTGTGCGTGGCGTGCGTGAGTGTGTGCGCAGCCGCCGTGTGTGTGTCTTTCTGTTTTGTTCTATCTTCCAGTTATAAAACGTTTAACTCTCTTTCGACTCTTACTTATGGTCAGGATCTAGCTTCTAGACTATAGCCGCGTAGCAGTTCCGCAGAGCGTAATGAACTTCTTGGTACCTAAGTTTACATCTGCACTATGCTCGCCATTGGCTTCACGAAAAATGCTCACAAAACGGCAAAATGTCGGGGCTTTTTAACACTTATTTATATCTACTATGGACATCTCAGCCTATCTTTTTTTGAACTTTCACACAAAGTGCGTTGAGTATCGCGTTATAACCATATGCTTTCATGGAGCTTTTACGTGCATTCTATTGGTGCGACCGAGAGCGCACTAAAAGCCTATATTTTTGTCGCTATCGACTTTTTTAATATTCACATATGAGCCATAAAGCCTCGTATGACTATCTTCTAAAGCTATCATATACAACACTCCCTATTATCGGGCAAATGTCATCATTTCACCGTTTTGAGCACGTTCGCATGGTAAATGCGTTTTTACTGTGCACTCGACATTAAAAGCGGAATGAAGTATGAACCATCCTCGTACGTATACCGCCATCTTCCACGTTGCCGCGCAATTTCAACATTCACCAGGTGTTCTTAGTAATCATGTATAAAACGACACAGATGCGATTCTAAAATAAATAGGGAAATAGAGAGAAAGAGAGCAGAAGAGAGAGAGAGAAAAGAGAGAGAGAGAGAGAAAGCGAGAGAGAGAGAGAGAGACAGAGAGAGGAAGAAGAGAGGAGAGAGAGAGAGAGAGAGAGAGAGAGAGAGAGAGAAAGTGAGATAGAGAAACTGCGACAGAGTCAGAGACAAACAGAGACAGGGACAGAGGCAGTGAGTGAGTGAGTGTGTGAGTGAGTGAGTGAGTGAGTGAGTGAGTGAGGACGTGAGTGAGTGAGTTGAGTGAGTGAGTGAGTGAGTGAGTGAGTGAGTGTAGTGAGTGAGTGAGTGAGTGAGTGAGTGAGAGTGGGAGTGAGTGAGAGAGTGAGTGATGAGTGAAGTGAGTGAGTGAGTTGAGTGAGTGAGTGAGTGAGTGAGTGAGTGAGTTGAGAGTGAGTAGTGAGTGAGTGAGTGAGTGAGTGAGTGAGTGAGTGAGTGAGTGAGATGTGAGTGAGGAGTAAGTGAGTGAGTGAGTGAGTGAGAGTGAGTGAGTGAGTGAGTGAGAGTGAAAGAGAGAAGGGGGTAAGAGTGACCGAGATAATTACTTACCCTTACTAAGTAGCAACAGCATTAGCAGGTGAAGCAGCAGGTTGACATTGATCCACGGATCCATTCGCTAGCTACACTGACACACAACAATAACGAATACGATTTCCTTTCTGCTTCCGCTGTCTGCACCACCGCGGAGCCGCCCGTTGCCAAATACAGAGTGGATAGCGATTCAGGCATGCGTGAATGTAAGCGTTGGCTGTGAGTGGGCTGTCGGCGCGTGTATGCGTGTATTTAGGCGTATGAGTGCATGTACATGCGTGTGCGCGTACGCGTGGCGAGATGTCGTCTGCGTCGCTCGTCGAGCGCGCGATATCGCCGTTCGCGCGTTCGCCGCACGTACCCGTGCGCATGCGCGTGTAAGCCTATCAATGCCCGATGACGTATCATCACGCCGGGAGGTGGCGCGCGCATGCACCCCGCACTTCTCTAGTATCTAGCTTCTCTTCTCTTCCTTAAGCCGGCGTAAATTTTCCTCGACGAGACGTAATTAATTGGGTGTCGTTTTACGTTCCCGCTGCGCGATCCTCGCGTGCGGTCGCGCGACGGTTTTGAGGCGAATTACTCGTTAAGTAAAGGGGCGAGAAAGGCTCAGATGGAAAAGTAAAGTGGGCTCGGGTTTCGTGCATGGCCGAAAGCAATTTATCGTAAACGGCACATGTTTAAGAGGGCAGCCGCAGTAGACGTAGTGGTGTTAGCGTGGATGCTTGCAAAACGATGTCGAGTGGTAAAACAGTGTGAAATACCTCTCGTATTGAAAGGAGACTCCGCTTTATCAAGCCAGCTTGAAACACATTTAGTGCACGGATTGTGCTATTTGGTTCTCCCTCGATGGAGCTATATTCAAAATAAAGTGTTCGTTTGGGCTTAGACTAAACGTATCATAATGGTTATTTGCCTATAGGATATACTTTCCCAGGACTACGTTTTTCAGGCTTGTCTGCAAATAGGAGAATCGAAGGTCCAGGTGGCAGTAAAGTTTAGACAGCTATACAGGATAACACAATTTGGCGGTGTTATGCCTAACATATGGCCTACCAGTGTGCATATAGTTTCGAAGAAACCCAATATTCAGTGTATATTAAGAAATTCAAGTAAAATACTAATGCTTCAAGATGCATCTATCTTGGCATTTTTTTATGCACACCTGACGAGGTTTCTGAAAAATTACATGCATGCTCGCCAGGAATTTGCGCTGGTGGACCATCCCGGTGGATTTAATGCTCTGATCACGTCAACAACGATTTTTACAATTAGATATGCAATCGTCAGTCTGCTGTAGCAAAATAGCTTATCGTTCGCTGAACAAAACACTTATTACGGACAAGATGGATAGATTTGATCTGTTCGTTTATTGTCGTGTAATTGTTAGAATTCACAAAATTTATATAATTTCATCGAGCGGCTGTGACAAGGTTTGTATGCATTTTCGCCGGCAGGTAGCAGCACAGGAGGGGAATGCCACGCAAGCTTGCATTCACATTTGAATAATTTCATGGTCACGGCCATCACCAGGAGGGAAATGACTTCAGCCAACGGATTATCATCCGTGCTCTTGCCACTAATTAAGCGTTTAATTAGAACCCGATAGTGAATGCGTTCAGAGTGGGCGCTGGGTGGGAGCTAAAGCAGTCTCCACGTGCGTTAAATTTTACCTCTATCCGACTCATTTCTATGGCATTGTTTTCATTGTCTACTATATAAAATTAATGAAGGACACTCACTCTAGCTACATAATACACATTAAGTAAGGCAAATGTGATGAAGAGAGCATTCGCATGAGAATGATGGGGATTATATTAAAAATACCGTAGATAATTATTAGACGAATTAAGAACTGGATGGCATTACCTACTGCAAAGAAACTTAATCTTAAAGCAGAATATTCTATTTTAGACAACAAGTGCTGCCACGAAAGCTAAGAGAAAGATTACGTTTTTTGTATAGGAAAATCGGTATCCACTGCCATTCGTTACCTTCTCCCAGCCAACGCATTGGTTGCAATTGAACGCGTTATTTGGATCATATTTCTTTTTTATCTCGAGTAAACGGTCATATTTTGGACCCCAGAATTCTTCAGCGTAATCCGGGATATCAAATCCGGGTTCGTTGTAGTAAACACCACGGCCGTATTTCTTCATCATTGGATACCACTCATCACTGAAGAATCTGCAGAACAACAGTCGGATGGTTACGTTAAAAAATGGCTGCAGCAGCAGGCAAATACACGCATGGAGGCTGAGGTGCCGTGACGATACGACGTATAAGGTAGGAACATCTATCTCGTATTTCTCGTTGCCACTATCCACCGTGTTGCACTGCACTATACGTGAGGTAAACCGCTAGTTACTGCGTATTGACAGGTGGTGCCCCCTGGTGTCGAGGAAAGACACGTAAAAACGCTACAATATATATACAAACAAATATATATATATTTATATTTATATTAAGCAGGCATCCTTGTATGTGTACGGCAGATGAGAGAATGGTTGCTAAGATAGTTGTAGTGGCGATCGCCGTGATGGTATGTATGGTGAGCGGTAAAGACTACTGCATGCCTCACCAATCGTGCTGGCCGAAGGCGGAAACCATAGAGAAGTTCGACAATTCTCTCTCTACAAAAGCAAATGTTCTGACTCCAGACCTGGGCCCGTGGTTTTGGCTAGCGTGTACAATGAAGAACACATATCAGCAAAGGTTAGTCACGAAGTAGACCGTTCCTACCGAGTACCAGATATAAGGCTATAGGATTTATAATGATGTTGTAAACACCATATAGTCGGTTAAATTTTTTATCACAATATATTTGGAAACTTCTTGACGTGCTTGACATACATGGCGCGCGTACTTGTTACACAATTTGCAAGTTTGTATTTCGTTTCACTATATATTCGTAGAATAATACACACACACGCACACACACACACTCTCTCTCTCTCTCACACACACACACACACACACACACACACACACACACACACACAAAGTGACACCGACACATGCAACAACCCGTTCGTCATCGATATCCGTACTATCTATTGTAACCGTATATTGGAACCGATCAATTGCATTGTAATTGTAACTATCTAGTAAAATTGCTTATTAGTCTTAATTTTTCTGTAGGAAGCCTGGAATGGTCGTCACAGCGCGTACGACCGAGGATGTGCAGAACGCAGTTCTGTTCGCTAACGAGCACAACATCCGCATCACGGTCGCGTCGTCTGGTCACTGCTACCTCGGCAGGTCCGCAGAGGACGGCAGTCTTCTCATCAACCTAGGAGCCATGATAGCGATGAATATCAAGACTAATGTTCCTACTCTATCAGACACGGGAGCGATCGCCATCGTGCAGCCAGCTGTGACGAACGCCATGATTCACCCGAAGGTAGTAAACGCGTTGATAATACTATTATAGTGACCGAGTGTTGTTTGCTTTCATCGGTCAAGCAGGCGATTCCATCACCACGATGTTCAGCCAATGGTCATCGTGACCATACACGCCCACTAGCTAACGCGCGTCGTCTGGCTAGTACTAGCTTATATATTCTTAAACAAATACTTGCCAGAGTCGTGTTTTATTTTCCTTATTTACGAATATTGTTTGAATAGCGCCCACCGTTATAGTATTAGGCGGATTCGTGCGCGACTAATGCTTGCTTGTTCAGCTCATGACTGTTCATCTTTGTATAGGCTAATGATGAAGGGTATTTGGCGGCGGCGGGAAGCTGCCCATATTATATCGTAGCGCTTCTAAGATCACTGCATACCTGAGTATCCTATCTTCACCGTAATTCTTATTCATAAGTGCGCCACAGGTGCTCGAGAATACTGCGTCATGTAAATAGTCGCTGACGGCCGTCTCGTTCCGACCCACGCTTGTCATACCTGATATGGCAGACGGGCGGTACACGATTACAAACATCACGAGCAGGAGTAGATAATAGGGATAGTAGATATAATTCGCTATTATCTACTCCTGATCACGAGGCATGTCGACGCTGAGTGGTCATACACACGTTATTCACATGCACATGCATTCAGCATATTTTACCCACATTTCTGTATCTAATTATTTCACTGGGCGTTTTCTCGATCGCTCTACAAGCGTTTATATTTGCATACGCACACTATTGACACTGTCAGATAACCTATTTTACTGGGGATGCAACCGCACGACCTAGGCCACGAAGTTGACCCGGCTGCGTACAAAAAAAACTTTGTTAGCGGTTCGGAGGAAGCGATCGCGTGTTTACGGCACATCGCTGCTGCGTAATTGCGCATGCGTGCATCGTCGCGGTTTTCTATAATTATACTAGTATATAAATAAATAAATAAATATTTATTTATTTATTTATTTATTTATGATTTATTATGGCATATATATGGTAGGTGGCGTGTCGGTGCTCACCTCCGACGTGGGCGGCGGTGCACGAGACGACGACGTACTCGTCGCCACGCCCCGCTGCATCGTACATGAGGCGAGTCATCTCGGCGGCAAACTCGCGGGTGAGAAACTCCGGTTGCTGCAGACGGTTGTCGATGGCGATGGGGAAGCCCGTCGGATCGTTCACGTACTGCTGGTACTCCCAGAAGTTCGCGTAATCCTTGAACGAGCACTCCTTGCCCGTTGTCCAATCCGGACGATAGTCGACCAGCGGCTGAACCTGCGCGCGTGCCGCCTCGTCGGCCTTGCCGTTGTGCAGGAGGGCGAAAACCACTTTCCCCGGTGTCCGGCTGCCTTGCGGGTTTGGGATGCCGGTACTGATTAAGAGGTAACCGCTCCAGTAATTGTCCATGATCGGCAGAGTGTTAAGGAAGTAATGCGTGAGTATATCCTCGGCGTAGATGTCGCTGCCGACGACGCTGTTGAATGGATACGCGCATATGAGCGACGTGAAGCCTGGGTTGGCTTCATGCAGCTTCACGGTGTACTGCGTTACGACACCGAAGGCGCCCCCTCCTCCGCGTATGGCCCAGAACAGGTCAGCGTCAGGCGTCGAGCGTACCTGCGAAACAGTAGAGAATACGATGGTGTGCTGACGCGTGGCGATCGGGAACACTCGTGTGATCTCGCGGACAGTCTCGGTGAAATTACGGGAAATGTCAGTCTAGTTCACTGCTGACGATAGATTATCAGTGAACATTATCACACGTCACCTGACACCTAATTTGCGACGGCCTGCATCATTCGTCAGTACCATCCCGCACTGTATACCTGATATCCCATATACCTGGCCATCTCTATCCGTAGTCACTGTTCCAGACTCGCTCAGCTCTGCTATAGCGCCATCGGCTAGAACCATGGTGGCCGCAATGAGGTTGTCTGCGCCAAGGCCGAGACTTCTGGTGTTCGGGCTATGACCACCGCCTATAAGAAACCCACCCATCGCAACAGTCGGACAGCTGCCAGCTGGGGCAAGGTAGCCCGCCGCACTGACCTAAAGAACGAAAGGCGCACGGTTTCACCATCTTACTATAATTTGGCGAATGTTGTTTGTATGTATGTATGTTTGTGAAAGGCTCCGTCAGTTTGCATCCAAATAGCGCCAAATTTACAGAAGAGATCGATGAGTACACGGGACGTGTTGTAAACTATACTCGGTTGAAAACCGTTTGTTCGGTCTTAAAAAAGACACAAAAACACAAAAAAGGTAAGCATTTGCCTGAAGATAGGGGGCGCTGTTTTGTTTACGTTCTGTTTGTATTTCGTTGTTTCAACAGGTTTCAATTTCGTGTTGTTCTGTGTATCTCTGTTCTGTGTCTGTGTGTCTGAGATTTGTGTAAGCCCCATAATGTAAGTAGAAATAACCATGTAATAATGAAGTTAAATATTCAGTAGCTATTTAGCCATAGTTTCCCATATGCGATGTGCAAGTTGAATTTCATCAGTGCAGATTTTTTTTTGGAAGTCTGCAATGCTGTACAGTGTACGGGTGCCGTGTACACCGATCTGTGTGGGTGTGTGTATTTCACTGTGTACTTGCCAAACAAATGGTTAATGTGTTACGTGTGAGCATGATTGCACATGTATTTGTATTGACTTCTCAACCATAAAAAAACAAACATGTGCAACAACTAAACTCTCCATATAACACCTTACACATAACACTACTCAGTCTACTGCACTGGTAACACATGCATCACAGTCACTAAGCCCGCGCGTAGCGCGGGTTTCAGCTAGTTTATTTAACGATATGGTAGAGATGCGGTATCTAGCACCACATAGAACTACCGGTAAGCATAAGTTTGTTCTATTGGCGTCCGTAAACGTCGTGTAAAATACCATTGCAACAGTATGTTACGTATAGAAATGTGCCTACTGGCAACTTTTTGCATATAATTTTTTTGCCATTAGACAGAGCCATTGCCACTATACGATGAGGAGGTTCCCATGTGAGTTAAGCGATGTGAGCCCGTTCTATGCGAATTGCACTGATTCATATATATATATATATATGTGCAGGATATGATTAACAAAATATTAAAATGTGGTATTACACTGTTGTGAATCACGGCGTTCGTCACAGCTGGCTGCACGATGGCGATCGCTCCCGTGTCTGATAGAGTAGGAACATTAGTCTTGATCTCCATCGCTATCATGGCTCCTAGGTTGATGAGAAGACTGCCGTCCTCTGCGGGCCTGCCGACGTAGCAGTGACCAGACGACGCGACTGTGATGCGGATGTTGTGCTCGTTAGCGAACAGAACTGCTTTCTGCACATCTTCGGTCGTACGCGCTGTGACGACCATTCCAGGCTTCCTACAGAAAAATTAAGACCAATAAGCGATTTTACTAGATATTCACAATTACAATGCAATTGATCGGTTCCAATATACGGTTACAATAGATAGTACAGATATCGATGACGAACGGGCTGTTGCATGTGTCGGTGTCAACCTATGTGTGCGTGTGTGTATAGGAGGAGGTCACGGACCGAACACTAGAAACATCGGTCTCGGCTCTGATAACGTGATCGGCGTTACCATGGTGCTTGCCAACGGCAGCATCGCTCAACTAAAGCAGGACAGCACCATCATAACAGACGTTGACGGAAAGGTAGGCTACGTGCACGCGGTTCTAGCGAGTATGACATCCTTATATGCAGGACCTGCACGTTTGCCGTAGCTTAATGGGAGATTAACTAAGACTTTACTACGGAAAAACAGAATCGACTTCGATTTTAGAACGAAACAAAATAATGAGCTTAATAAATAAAGTTATTAAGTATTAGTAGATAAGCTCAAAATAAATGTAATAAATGAGGTAGCGATACTTTTCGCCTATAATAGCCTACTCTCCGTATATGTGTGGTTTGTTTCGTGAAACGTTACAAAAAGAACATTTTAATCGCATAAGCGTGCGGCGAAGGGAGCGGCAGACCGTCCCCAATGTTCCTCGAATTAGCATGATCATAATAATAGTACATTCTGACATTTTCTGTTTGGTATATTTGCTCGAAAATGTAATAAATTCCATTAAAAGTATGAACATGCGCATACTTTTTAAATTATATCAAAATGCTGAAAGTGCTGTATTTATAATTTATATTAAGACGGGGTTCTGAGCTTAACATACTAGACCCGGTGCTGTTGATTCGCAGCTTCAGCACCTGGGAAGTAGCCTGACATCAGGAATCGTAGAAACAACATGCTAACGATAAATCTTTTTTTTGCCAACACGTCAATGCTTCCTCATTATTAGTCAGTCGGGACAAAACTGTGCTCTCTTCCATAAGAAAAAACTCAGGCTATAGGGCTATAGTCTATTGGGCTATAGGCTATAGGTACTAGGAGCGAATGCTGAGATAAAAATGCGTGTGAGTTACAGTGAATGGATCTAAGCATGACATTCTGCGTATGCAGCGATTAGTGAAGCACCATCGACACAACAACACGATACAAAATTGATTAGCTATTGGTATCGCTCCAATATTGCTGCGCGCAGCTTTGGAGTAATGCAAAATGTACCAGTTATTTGCTGAACTACTACTATATACGTCAATCTATTGCTGCAGGAAAGTTCCAGTGATGACCCGGACTTGTTCTGGGCCATCCGCGGCGGCGGCGGTGCCTTTGGGGTCATCACCGAGTTTACAGTGAAGCTGCACAAGGCCAATACGGGGTTCACAATGTTCTACGCTAACTTCAAGTTCAACGATGAAGTCGAGAAGAATAAGGTGTACGCAGGCGACGTGATGGCGTTCTACTTTGAAGAGGTTCTGCCAAACATGGACCAGGGCTGGAGCGGGTACATTATCCTATCTGCAGGAATACGGACGCCGGCGGGATTTACGGCAGGCAGCGTGCAATTCATCCTGCTTCACAACGGCAAGGCAACCACCGCGGAACGAGAGCAGGTGATGCCCTTAACGACCTTCCGCCCCGAATGGCAAGCCTCCGTCGCTTTTACGGATTTCCCAGATTTCTGGGAATATCAGAAGAACGCCAACGATCCCACGGGCTTTCCTATTGGAATAGACAGTCGTCTGCAACAGATGGAGTTTCTCACAAACGACTTCGCACAGGAGATGTCGAAGCTAATGTACGATGGAGCGACTAGAGGGGAAGACTTTGCCCACATCACCTGCACGATGGTGCATGTCGGAGGTACGCGCTGCGCACATGAGTTTTACATGCATGAGAATACGTAATGTAGATCAGGCATCCAGACAGTCAACCCTGTTTACATATATTGGGTAGAAAATCCTTTATGAATGTGTATCTATGTATGTATGTATTAGACGGGCGGCGCATTAAATTCGCCGATTAGCTTAACCTTCCAAAACCAGGGCTCACCAGGATGTTTAACCATATTATCGCCAGTATGCTACGTATAGGGCGTCAATAATAATAATAACATGAAATTCGTCGTGTCTCTAAACACTAATAACGTGCGTAACATTACATCACATAACATTAGCGGTAACTGTTAGGAGTAGATATCGACGGAGCTAACTCGTTTTACTCGTTCATCAAGGTCTGGCATCGGGCAACCGTAACACGACGTCGGTTAGCGACGACATGCGTGATGCGACGCTGTCATCTACCTGCGGAGGAACATGGAACGAATATGGCGAAGAAAGCCTGCTCAAGTACGTATCTATAATCACGTAGTATTCGTGTAGAACTGTAGATGATGGAGAAGTGGAATAGCTAACGAAGGAAGAAGAAGGGGAGAGAGGAGGGGTACGAAAGAGGAGAGAGACGAGGGCGAGGAGAAGGAAAGAAGAGAGAAAGAGAGCAAGGAGAGCAGAGAAAAAAGAGAGAGAAGATAGGAGAGCTGAAAGAGAGAGAGGAGAGAGAGACAAAGAGGAAAGCGAGGAAAGAGAATGTAAGAGGGTGGGAGGGAGAGAACGAGAAAAATAGAGGAGAGAGGGGGTGTAGACAGTTTGTGGGGATGGACAGAAGAGTAAGAAAACGAAGAAGGGTTTTATAAACAGCCAAGGTAGTAGGTAGTTCAATGTTATTCAAAATCAGAATTTGAAACTGCGAATAGAAGGCGAATATAGCAGTAACCGGTATTACCGTATAATGACCGCCGTTGGCGGAAACGAGTTGTTAATTACCCATTGATATAATAAGTAAGTACATGTGTTTTTTCCCGATACAAAATACCAAGAAATAGGATGTCTATAGATAGAAAGCATAGCGTGCATGACATTCCCATCTCAATATTGGTCTGCAGCTTCTTCAAGGATGAGTGGAACCCCATGATGAGCAAATATGGCCGTGGTGTGTACTACAACGAACCGGGGTTCGAACTCACAAACTACGCTGACGATTTCTGGGGACCAAAGTACGATCGTTTACTCGAGATCAAAGAGAAACATGATCCCAATAACGTGTTCAATTGTAATCAATGCGTTGGCTGGGAGAAGGTAGCAACCGGCAGCGGGCGACAACTGTAGTCCTACTATACATGTAGCACACTCTTGCTGACGGCTCTCATAACAGCGCATTTCATCTAAAATAAAATATTCCTAGTCGACAGGTAGATTTCTGTTACTCTGTAGAAGCGGTTGGGGATAATATGTTTATAGATTAGTGTTGTGTAGTATGGTCGCGAAGGAGTGCGTGTGTTGAATCAACATTATTAGTAGTTATCAGTAGCAGCAAGTCACATACACATACAGATAAAAGTGCTCTATCAATGCAGTTGACATCATCTTAACTGAATTTATTTCTGGACAACAGTGTACATGTTCAAATAATCGAGTAATCATAACTGTTGCGCAAAACATTGATGCTGTTATAACCTGAATATAATTAGAGTTGCGGCAGCTTGTGAGCAATATTCGATCGTCATCGTTTATCGAAATTATGACAAGTGAGTTCCGGAACGGGCTTTAAGAGTTTACGCAGGACTAGAAAACAGCAAATAAATGCAAATATTAATTCAAATAAATGTACGTTTTATAGTTTGCACTGTGAATCATAAGAAATTTAGCTGTCATGTGCAACAATACAAAATAATGAATACTCAATGTTTTGTTTTTTATGCACGATAGTTTGATGTCACGTGTAACCAGGCATTCAATATTTAGTTTACTCAGTAGCGTTATTACCACTACGTACGTTAGCGTACTCGAACTTATTATGTTTGTCTTGCTAAATCTTGTCTCGCAAATGACATTTATTGAAAGGCAAACACAATTTTATGTATGAGCAACGTTTCATTAAGGAAGTTGTTACTGTGCTTTCTAGTGCTGATTTAACTCACAGGGCGACCCCGCTTCCTAATATTATACCACAAAGACCCATGCCAGAGTTTAGACGTGCGCGAATTATTGAGAAGTCGTACGTCTGTACTCAAACTACCGAGTGTATCTATATAAGCAAAACTTCCTTAAAACATCTAATACTATAGAGCTAAACTAAATCATAAATAACACAGCGTCCTATACTGTAGTATAATAGCTAAGTCCTAATAATGGGTTCAGTGATTCGTTGTTATATTGAAAAAAAAAATCAGGGAGTTACGCTTTTGTACTCACAACACCATGTGCACATGAGTAACTTTCTAAAAATAAAAAAAATGCAGCAGTTAATTATATAATTAAAGGGCATTCTGTTTCCCCATACTGTAGCATGGAGGGAGAATGTCAAAATACATGACATGAGCATGCGCTGTATATCATGAATTTAATATTAACAAGTCGCGATTTGGTGTTCCAACAAGCAAACGCATGTGCAACTTCATCTCAAGATATCTAAATGTTTAGCGTACAATTAAATCATGACAAGGTGCTCGTTGTCCCATACTATATATATGGCATACACGTCAATGCTGCGTTAAAGCATGCGATATATATATATATATCAATAGCTAATAAATACTATTATTTATTATTACTATTATTATTTATTAGCTCTTGATATATATGTGTGTGTGTGTGTGTGTGTGTGTGTGTGTGTGTGTGTGTGCGTGTGTGTGTATTATTCTACGAATATATAGTGAAACGAAATACAAACTTGCAAATTGTGTAACAAGTACGCGCGCCATGTATGTCAAGCACGTCAAGAAGTTTCCAAATATATTGTGATAAAAAATCTAACCGACGATATGGTATTTACAACATCATTATAAGTCCTATAGCCTTATATCTGGTACTCGGTAGGAACGGTCTACTTCGTGACTAACCTTTGCTGATATGTGTTCTTCATTGTACACGCTAGCCAAAACCACGGGCCCAGGTCTGGAGTCAGAACATTTGCTTTTGTAGTGAAAGAATTGTCGAACTTCTCTATGGTTTCCGCATTCGGCCAGCACGATTGGTGAGGCATGCAGTAGTCTTTACCGCTCACCATACATACCATCACGGCGATCGCCACTACAACTATCTTAGCAGCCATTCTGTCATCTGTCGTACACATACAAATATGCCTGCTTAATATAAATATATATATTTGTTTGTATATATATATACAATATATATATGTAGTTATTGGCGATAATTCTTGTATACACACACCTACATGGATTGTTTCGAAAGTGAGAATGGCGATATCACCAGACGAGGTATATGATACTGTTCCACGGCCAAAAGGGCATGTTTACACAACACACCTATGACAACAAGTTGAACAGAAGTATGTCAAGATGGTCAATGTTGAAATGGGTGATCAGCAACTACCGAATGCAAGCGTATAGCGTAAAATCAGCCACGGAGAATTGCCCGGAAAGCGACTGTCCAGAACGCAAACCGCCCATGGCTTTAATTTGTGCTTCCAGGCAAAATAACTTAACTACGAACCTAATATGGATATATTTCGTTTAGCGTCAAACACTACTTCTTATGTTCATCTAGCGCAAACCAACGGCAACAAAAAATCCATATAACTTTATTAGATACCAACATTTACGTTCGGGTACCGAGGAATCGTAAAAATAAAGAAATCCATTTCTGAGTACGTTCTCTCTTAAAAAATGCACAATTCGAATAAAACTTGATTTCCTATAGCATGTAGTAGACATGCCTAGAGACACGTTTGACCCCATCACCTACCGCACGTTTTACGGAGGTTTAAATAATCTGCCGTATTATAGTTAACGAAGTGAGTCATTGGGTTCAACATTTTCAGATCTATGACTGCTTCTGTGTATTTGCTTACTACATGTGTATAAAAGTGTATAATTTGACCAAAGTTATGTAAGAATATATTTCAGTTAGCATCGTACATTACTTCTTATGTCTGTATTTATCATGACGATTTCGGGGTATTGTTGTGTATGTCCGCACACTTATACACATGTCTTGGGAAAATACATATGTAACGTCATACAACTGACAGTGTATGTGCATGAAGCTCTACGTGACCTCGGCACGTCTATTCGTCACCTTTGCTGACGTGAAGGATAGCAGCTTCAGTTGAATACGCGTGGTAGCTTCGGATAGCTTGCGGCATCTTGAACTAAGAGAACAGGAAACAAGAGGAGAAAGGTATGAATGGAGAAGATGGTTGCTGCGTGGGGTTAAGGTTGGAGAGCGTTCTAGATTGACAAGGGAGAGGAGTGAGCATAACGCTAGGCGGCGCACGTATACGCGAGGAATAGCTAATATTATAATTGGTTACTGCATACAGAACAACGATAAACGACAAACGAAACCGAGTTGCTATTTTATCGTTCATAATTCGTCTTATAAACATAGAGCTGATATTATAATGAATTTAATGAGCAATAGTTAATATTCTAATTGATTACTGCATACAGGATAATGGCAGTGCATTGGATAAACGACTGTGTTGTCATTTTAACGTTCATAATTCGTCTTATGAATATACAGCTTATAACAATCATACTGTTGATAATGATGTGGTAGCATTATTTTTTGTCTCGTGCAAGTTACGATACCGACATTTCCTTCTCATATAACAATAATCTTTTAGCACCCGATATGTCTAAGAAACATAGATTGTTCTCGAGTTATATGTCTTTATCTCAGACGGTCATGTGCACAGTGCGTAGCTCAGACGCGTACCACCGTGCAGGACATGTGGGCAAAGTCTTCGCCTCTAGTCGCTCCATCGAACTCGTTTGTGAGAAACCATTTCTGTTGCAGACGACTTCCCGCACCGACAGCATCATATCACCTAGTGTTAAATAAAGCGATCGTTCGACCAGCGACCATCAACACACTCACAAAATAAAAGATTAATGGAACCGGAAGCTCGGGTCAGAGTACCGAATTTTTTTTACGGATAGTTGCTTATATCTATGTGCTGTCTTATTTCAGTGCGCAAAAGAGCGATGTTCTTAGTAAAACTCTTGGATTCACAACGTATGTCTTAACAAAACATAAAGATATTGGTTATATGCTACAGAATAGGCTATACTCAATAACCGCTCGTTTACATGGGCACAATATATTATTATATACACGCAATTTAAATAATAATATATTGTGCCCATGTAAACGAGCGGTTATTGAGTATAGCCTATTCTGTAGCATATAACCAATATCTTTATGTTTTGTTAAGACATACGTTGTGAATCCAAGAGTTTTACTAAGAACATCGCTCTTTTGCGCACTGAAATGAGACAGCACATAGATATAAGCAACTATCCGTAAATTTTTTCATTCTAGCCCTAATCAAATAATTACGAGGTTCTCTGTTTTCCCATATAATGGGTTGCACGGATTGGTACCACCGTTTCTAAAGGATATTGGTGGGATATTACTATTTATGTACTACTATTTATGTATTTACTATTAAGGGTAAAAGGATATTCCTATTTATGTGCGCGATATACGATCTTGCTGAGGATTCACCTTGGTGAAGGTGAACTCGAAATACTTATCGCTCCGATATCTCGAAAATATTCCTAACACTTACGTCAGCAGAGAAATTATGCATAGGAAATCACATTTTATTCGAATTGTGCATTTTTTTAAGCGAGAACGTACTCAGAAATGGATTTCTTTATTTTTACGATTCCTCGGTATCCGAACGTCGGTAATGTTGTTATCTAATAAAGTTATATGAATTTTTTGTTGCCGTTGGTTTGCGCTAGATAAGAACATAAGAAGAAGTGTTTGGCGCTAAACGAAATATATCCATATCAGGTTCGTAGTTAAGTTATTTTGCCTGGAGGAACAAATTAAAGCCATGGGCGGTTTGCGTTCTGGACAGTCGCTTTCCGGGCAATTCGCCGTGGCTGATTTTACGCTATACAATTGAATGGTTTGTAGAGCGTAGACGTAACAGTTGAGTAAGCGGTGTCAAGTACGGTTTTATTAGCTCATCTGACATAGTCAGATGCAGCTTGTAGAATCGCATGAGCGTGCGTCCGTCCGGCCGTGCGTCCGTCCGTCCGTCCATAAAATGTACTTTCCGCTGACATGCGAAGAGTAAGTGTCGGATAAATTTTTGACCCTCAAGAAGAGGGTTAAACATGGATTTGTTGACTGTTAACAAAGGACTGAACTGCTTTTGCTATTGTGGATGTAAGGCTACAGTTGCACAGTTCAATTGCAAAGGCAAATGTTTGTTGAACAAGGTTTACGCTCCTTAAATCATATTATTTTCTAAAGCAGTCTGTATAAGCACCCTGAGTATAGCACCCTGTATTAGCACACTGTCATGAACCCTGAATGCTCGCGTGGGTAGGCGAAACAGGGGGGAAACCCATTACGCATGCATGGGGGTGAACTGGCACTATTCTAATCATAATTATTGCCTGGCAACCTGCAATGCAGATGTGTTAACTCACAGCTGAGCGAAATTCTCGCTTGCCTGAATATACTTGGATTTCAGCAACTCAATGGAGTGAGGTTATCACGCACGAAGGGTGATGCCATCTTTGATTATTGATGACACTTGCACGCGCCATCTGCGGTAACTGCTTTTGCTATTAGAGCTCCCTCCACCTGCCCCCTCCCCCCACTCTCCCCCAACCACCACCACTACGCTCGCGCTCGACGCATATCTATGATAACATGTTAATATAGCAAAGTCATTAAAGTTACGCAGCTGTATCTTTATTACTGTACTACCGGTATAGCAAAGCCTAGCTATCATAGATTTTAAATCTGTATTAATTAGTAGTATCCTAGATATATATATGCTCTAAGCGCGAACGCGGTGGCGGGAGGGCGCACTTGATTCGGTTGCCAGTGAGTTTATCAGAAGAATACCCGGCTACAGTAGAGTCCCTATATACAGAGAGTTGCGCCATGACGAGTCGGAAAAAATCGGTCACGTGATCGCTGCCGGCATGTTGTTTCCAAATGGATCAACACCGCTGCCGCTTAAGTACAGCGCTGTATGGATACGCTGTACAATGGTCCATAGTAATTAATTAGACTAATCGTGCTTCAATAAACTCAAGATTAACAGAGATTATAGCTAAGACATGTGTCTATGTGTAGCTAGATTTATAGAACTGCAAAACAAATATTACAGCTGCGAGCGAGTGGAGAGTGGAACGCATTTATCTTGTGAATTACAGTTGTCATTATTCTTCCCAAATGACTAGCTGCTGTGTTTACACTAAGAAAGTGTACAATTAAGCTATCATATGGCGCGAACGATTTGAGTTACTTTTCTAGAAATCTAGATACATATAAACACATGTGTTATCTATGATCTCTGTGATTCTTGAGTTTATTGAAGCGCGAGTGGTTTAATTAATTAGCAAGTGTCTTACGCGCGGTATCGGCACAGGCTAATATCGCACGGCTATTGGCGGTAAGAAAGTGTACATTAAACTATCATATGGCGCGAACGATTTGAGTTACATTTCTATAAATCTAGCTACACATAGACACATGTCTTAGCTAATAATCTCTGTAATTTTGAGTTTATTGAAGCACGATTAGTCTAATTAATTACTACGGACCATTGTACAGCGTATCCATACAGCGCTGTACTTAAGCGGCAGCGGTGTTGGATACATTTGGAAACAACATGGCGTCAAATCCTGAGTTGGCGCAACTCTCTGTATATAGGGACTCTAGGCTACAGTACACGTCAGTTGAGCGCTGTCGCTTTGCGGCACTTGTTATAGACGCAGATGAACAGCACAGTCAAAACAGTGTGCGCGTACTCATAGCGGATTCCGGCGTCTCACTCGTTGTCCCCAAAACCTCTTTTAAACCGTCCGCATCGTCGTCGCGACCTGTTTAGACTTCCACTAACTTATGGCGCGAGTCGTGGGTACAACGACCGGTCGCGACCAACGTACGACGGTACCAGGTAGGAGCGGCGAGCACCGTGTACGATGCCCGCTTAATGATGGCCGTTTGATAAACTCCGTCGCATTCTTGTTAAAGTTAATGTGTTCGTACCATTTTGAAATGCATTCTGTGCCAAATTCCCTATGTCTCTATCTCAAAGCTAAAACACCGTACTACATT